GTCATCTAGATTTTATTAGAAACACTGGAATAATATAAGAGTGGAATACGTTTTTGGAATGCGTTTGTGAAATACTAAGCCGACGGACTACCAAATCCGCGGAGTCTAAGCCCTGCGAAAGGGAGACGTAGATAATACAGAAAAACATATCAAAGGGTTTAAAACTACTGGGAACGCAGTCCCGAGAAAGAACAAAAGCAACTACAAATTGATAAAGCTAGATCACACAAGCCCCACGAGCAGACTACCTAAACCCTCCAACCCAATCGCGAAAGCATAACGACGAGGCCAACGAGACCAAACAAACGAAATGCGGCTCCTTCTATGGCGAATAAGACTACCTATCCAAATCTAAGAACGAAGAAAACTTAACCGGCAAGATGGATAATCCAGAAAAGACCGAATCTTCACACAAAACTCCCGGTAACGGCGATATCGAGGAGACCTCGACTTGAAGACGCCTAGAAAGACTCCTGTAAACAAACGACGATCTCGACCTGATCTTAATTGTAGTGACAAGAAACGAGCACACGCAGACCTGAGCATACCGGAACGGAAACCATAACGGCAAGGATCGAACCCGGAAAGAACGAAAGGAGCCTAAGGCATAAAGGCAGTCTACCAGCAAAACATGCAAAATCACAACCTAACCAAAGCAACTATTAATCCAAACTCAAACCACACGATCCAAGAAGCCTAAACCAGATCCAACGAAACTATCAGAGAAGAAGCAATAAGTACAAAACGCAAAGAAGGAAACCAGTTTCGAACATAGGGCCAACCAAACGGGACTAGCCCATGAGCCCAGTCCAAGAACACGAGGTCTCCATCCAACGGCACCACGGAGATCGCAGTGCTGGCATGAACCACCAACGCCTTCACCAAGAAGATCAGCCGAGCAACCGCAAAGCCTCGCTGCACCGTAACCTTTGCGCTTCCGAGCATGAACTTCACCTTCCGATACTCAAACCTAAACACATCGATGCAGAGATAGAAACCTGAAGCGAGCCAAGGAGGCCCTCTCGCGACGTAGGCGGCAAGCGCCGGAGAAGACCTCAGAGTTGAATCGTACTTGGAACTTCTCGTCGACCCACCCTTGGGAGAGAAATACAGAGCGCGTGAGATGCACCTCCTTGTTCACTAGTTTTTTTTATCTCAAGTTATAAGTAGTATTTTTTTTCTTTTAACACATAAAAACTTTCGTAACTCAAAGT